AGAAATACGTGGGAAGCTGTGAGGAATGTCAACTCAACAAGCTGGGAAAAGCTACGAAGGTGCCCATGATCGTCGCAGAAACCACTCAGACGGCGTTTGAGCAATGTGCTATGGATATAGTTGGTCCATTGCCCGTGACAAGCGCTGGAAATAAGTACATCTTGACGTTCCAGGATGCTCTGACGAAATTCAGCAAAGCTATTCCTATTCCAGACCAGGAGGCTAACACCGTCGGACGTGCGTTCGCGGAGAAAATAATTTGTGAATATGGAACGCCACAGAGACTTCTCACGGATCAAGGACCAAATTTCGTGGGGGAAATATTCAAAAATGTCTGTAGACTTTTGAAAATAAAGAAGATACAGACAACGGCATATCATCCGCAGACCAATGGCATTGTTGAGAGGTCGCATCGCACTCTAGCGGAGTACCTGAGAGGCTTCATTCAGGAGGATCAAACTGATTGGGATACGTGGCTTCCATACGCCATGTTTGCGTACAACACTACGCCCCACACGGCAACAAAAATGACGCCATTTGAGCTAATTTTTGGAAGACGCGCTGAATTACCGACAGCCGTGAAACAGCCGCCTCGTTTGACGTACTGCTACGATGACTTTGCTCAGGAGCTACGGGAAAGATTACGTGCAGCTCATCAGGAGGCGAGAGAGACCCTTGACAAGGTGAAAGAACGATCGAAAGTTCAATATGACAGAGATGCGGAGCCAATGGTGTTCAAAGTTGGCGACAAAGTCCTGTTGAAAAACGATGTTTTGCGACGCGGAAGATCGAAGAAGTTGACACAGCCCTGGATCGGTCCTTACGAAATTGTAGAGAAGAAATCTGATGTGAACTATATAATTCGAAGCGGAGGAAAGAAGAAAACACAGAGAGTCCACATCAACCGACTACGTCCTTTTGTAGAGGCATGACTATATGTACCTCTGCCTCGGACGTTACAACTCTTCGAAGACCTGGAAATTTCTTATTTTTGGGATAAGGAATTTTTTATGGAAAAAATAAGATTGACCTTGCCATGTGTTTATTCAATTAAACAATTAATTCCAAGGTATAATCGGAGCACTGAGACTGTTTCGGGTGTGCCAGGTTCTTCCCAGGTAGAAGAAATCCGGATAGTCCCAGCAGTAGGAATGACAGCGAGCACATCTAGTTCCAGTATCTTCCAGAAATTGGGGTACATGACATGGCTGAGCTGTTGGAGATTCTTGAAAGAGACCACGAAGATTGAAGACGTCCTGGACATCTATCTCAATGTCGGAACGGATCGGAAGATCCCAAAGGGCATTCAGGTTCTTCCCTCTACTGATTCTCCATTGCTTGACTTTATTTTTGAACTCCAGATTGACGTATCCGGGTCGATAGGGAAATCTGTCACACTAGAAATGTCAAAAAACAGGCAAAAATTAGAAGAAATAGAGACTGAGACGGTCGGAAAAGAACAGGTTGTTAGGAGAGTAGAGGAGGTATTCGGACTTACCAGATATTTAAACATGAATGCATCCACCGAGTGCTTTAAATATGGGTGTTTCTTGACGGAGCATTTTGGTCGAGGAACGAGCGGTCCGAGTCGATCCCACACACTTCTCCTGGCAGGTCTACTTGATTGGTCCGGAGAGCAGTCCAGAGGGTGGTGCTCAAAGGTGCGACAAACACGGCAGCGGGGCGCTGGTTTTCCAGTTGAACCCTTGGACTGGTTAGTCTTCAACGGAGATCCCGAAGAAGGCGCAGGACGGGTTGCAGGACGGATGCTGATACGCAGTGGGCAAGAACGGGAGAGATGTCCGGGCTCACCACAAGTAAAACATCTTTTGACAACTGCAGAGACGGATACTGTTGGTCGAGGTCGAAATCGACGAGATCTCGAACAGATTCCGCAGTTGGTAGATGTTCCACACTCAGCGAAGGGACACTTTCGTGAAACATGTCCAGCAATTCCGCACTTAAAGCACTTGACACTATTCATCTTGATGCTATGGGGTATTATAACCTTTCCACTTGGAATTTTTAAGAGGACTGTGACTTGTTGGGGACGACAGGCACTTTTATGTCTAGGGGTGCAACGTCGACAAACATGGCTGCCGTCAAGGCAACGTCACCTAAAGTCGACGTCCAACTCAAGTTCAAGAACCTGTGATTTCGCAAAAACACGGAAGTCGATAAATTTTGCAACGGCCTTAATAATGCTCATGCTGGGAAGCATGGCACCTCAAATAAGGGGGGAGGGGCATGTGGTTGAGAAATTTATTGACACTCCTGGAATTCATTTTGAGCCTATCGGAAGATTGTATCTGAGTAATCAAGTATGGAGTATCGCTGCATCTACAGATGTAGGGCCTTGGATGCTGAGAGCTGATCAGGTCCATAAACATCTTGAACTCGCTAAGGAGCAATGCAGTCGAGGAGCATACGAAAGCGGGAAAAATTTCCAGCTGATAATTACTCAGTGGGCTGAGGACTTTGCGGAGACTAAAGATGTTATCTCCGGGATGCTGGGGATCAACGATTCTAGAAAACGCCGAGGTCTTATAGACGGTCTAGGGACTGTCGCAAAATCATTGTTCGGTACAATGGATGCTGAGGATGCACTTATCATCAACCAGAGACTTTCACGATTAGAAAGTGGGGTTGAAGGGACTTTTGAGAGTTCTAAGAAACAAATGGAGATCGTAAATTCAACTATCTATCAGTTGGGACATACGGAGGAGATGATTCAGAAGAATGAAGAAATCCTCATGAAGTCCTTAAAGGAGAAATATTACGAGGTATTAATGATCACAGATAAGGTTGATCTGGACGAGCATCCCATGATACTGGAAGCTATCCACACCGGAGTAATGAGGGATGCTGCGAAGATCAAGAAGCTACTGACTGACGCCAAAGGGAAGCTAATGGATTCAAGGGTATTCACAGAGAGGAGTTTAGTTGCCCTTCTTAAAACAGCGAAGTTACCGAAGGGTTTAAGTTTCCCCTTTGAACTCGAAGTAGGCGGGATGTATCAAATGCAGGAGGTATCCACCGTCCACGTTCATGTATTTGGATTTAAAATTGTTACCTTGGTAGAGATACCACTCGTCAATTTTCAAGCGTTCGACGTTACGCTGACGCATGGAATTCCTGTGCGAACAACGAACGGGTATCACTCATACTTGGAGGCGAAGAACGAACTTCTGGTTATCCACGGGGCAACGCAGCAATTCGTGCCAATGACCGAGGGACAATTAAATCGCTGTAAGCAGATTCGAGGGCAATACTTATGCACTGAGTCTTTGCCCATACAAAAAATAAAAGATACAAGCCCATGTGAAGTGCAAATATACATGAATCCTGAGAAGATGCCAACTACATGTGTTGTGAAGCATCTACAGCTTCAAGGGCTCATTCTAATTAAAATGAGAAAAGATAACGCATGGTTCAATGTAGCCCCAGAACCCGAGGGAGTAGAGGTCACCTGCGGCGACGAGCAAGTAAGGGATACTCTGGAGGACTCAGGGACTTTGAGGGTCAAGGACTTTTGCGAGATAGTCGCTTCCGACTTCACCATAAGAGGGCGGAAGTCACATGAGGTAACATACAACGCTCATGTTCACCCAAAATTGAACTTGACGTTAGATGACGTCACCACCACTCAGCTCGAGCAACGAAGATTCAATCTGAGTGACATCCAGCTGGACAATGTCGTTGGAAACGTGAAAGAGCTGGAAGGGCTCCACGTGCAACTGGCAGCTGAGAAAGAAGATCTGAACCGGATAGAAAAAAAGTTCGATTATCGAGACTTTCTTACACACCCATCATCGATATTCACCGGGGTAATGGTGATTCTAGCATTCATCTCGGGGCTAACCCTTTACTGCTGGTATCGGAAACCTTGGCCAGCACCCAAAACAGAAACGCCTAGCTTCGAAGTAGCATAAGAATTTATGTATTGTATTTAATTTGTAATATTGATTATTAATGTAANACAATACCTTTGCTTCCCTCTATCAGCTTTGGATTGGGATCGCTTTCTGTTTCATACTTAAAATTATCATTCGCATCTTTCGAGTCCTTTTGGAGTTTAATGGATCATTTCAGAGTATTTAAAATTATTTTGAGTCACATTNTGCTTATTCGAATAACATGAAGTGACGAAAGTGGCACAAGTTATTCGAAACAAACAGTGGAATGAAGAAATATAAAATAACATTAAAAACTCGTGAATAAAACTTCACGAGTTAACGTCGAATACAGATAACTGGGGTGCAGCGTCAGCACTTTGTACCCCGACGACAGGCCTTCGCGTACACCGGGAAGACGTCACCCGATGCCTTGCAGGTGTGCGACGAAGAACAATGACCTGATGCAATCGTATTACATGAGGTGATAAAAACTCGTGTAATCGTTGTCTCGGGGCCAGTTACTTGTCAATTCTTTGATTACCTTCTTTATACTNCTACGGGAATACCACGATACACCGGTAGCTGGTTATCCTGGGAAAAAGCGAATGTACGCTAAATTGAAACAGAGATTCTATTGGAAGGGAATGAAATCTGACGTGGAGAAATACGTGNTGTGTAATCGTTGTCTCGGGGCCAGTTACTTTTCAATCCTTTCATTACCTTCTTTATACTTTATACTCGCTTGATACATTCAGTATCAAACCGAGTTTTATTTATTCAATAACTTTTAAATTAATGATTAAAAAACCAATTCCCAATAAAGTAATTATTTCTATTAACTACCCGCGTGTAATTCATCCCTAATTGAACCCAACCGCTCGGGTCCATTACAGTTATATATACAATTGTTATATTTTTCTCATAAAGGGTCGCCTTTGTGACCCTTCCCATATCGAAAATTCCATAAAATACTTGGTTCAACAATCTAAGTGGACTGAAGGGTAATCCGCCCGGTCGGAAGTTTGTATGCAAGCTATAAGTTGTCTTGAGCATTTGCTGTCGCGCCGACATTGCTGTCGGCGAAATCAGATAAGCCGTTAACCGCTGATGCGCTTATCGCTCAAACTTCGCTGTATCGAATTTATTTTTTCCCATCAACTTCAGAAAATTCAGAGGATGCCAACAGGTATAAGCTACAACTCTTCGTTTATAATCTTCGATTACGTCTGATTAATTTATGAATACTCTAGGAGAGAGGTTTTCCTGAAGACTTCCTTTAATGATAAAGTGTTCTGTTCATAGTCATCGAGAACAAGTATGATCAGAAATGAATTCCGGTCTAGAGAAAACATTTTACTGACATTTCGTGGACCGACATTACACAAAAGTGTACACGGAGTAAAAAGTTGGCGAAAAATTACCGAATAAGTCAGGTAATCGTGAGCGAACTCGATTTTCAGTGCTCTTCACCCAACATCGGAGAACAAGGGCGAAACAAATAATGAAATTTTCTCCGTTGGCCCGAGAAAATTTACTGAACGTGAGGGTCACTTGTGTCGAAACTTTAAAATTTACTCCGCATTCCATTAAAAATTATCCCAGTGAACGTGAATTAAAATTGTGAATTGTGAATTAAGCTACCGGGAACCACAGAAATTCACTCTCAAATTCACCTCAAACACCGCCTAACCTCCTTTAGGCATTAAAGAATTCTAAGAGAATTAGAATTTAGAGAGAAAAAATTTCCGCTTCACCCAGCCGGGAATCGAACCCGGGTCTCCCAGATACGCGCCGGGCACTCTTACCGACTAAGCTACCGGGAACCACAGAAATTCACTCTCAAATTCACCTCAAACACCGCCTAACCTCCTTTAGGCATTAAAGAATTACTGTATATTGCGTATAATTTTTCTGTAACGTAGAATGATTTTTTAGCCAACGCATTAAATTACTCCTGAAATTTCAAGTAAAAAATCTTGAAATTTTTAACAATCACTCACTCACACGAAATTTTCATGTATTTTGTTATTGAAAAATCAGTTGCATTCTGGCTTATTAAATGATTTGGAAATGCAAGCAACAACTTTTCTTTCAATCCACTAAAAATTCAGTTGGATATGATGTTTAATTTACGCAATGAATTTGAAAATTGTAGATGTCATTGAAATAACTATGATAATACAGTCCGACAAAATTTCGATGTCTCCAGGCACAAAGATGAGACAAACCCTATCATAAAGATTTGCACGCTGATTTCAAATCCGTCGAAAAAATCCCTTGAAATGACCTAGTTTTTTAGTAAAAAAATATTAAAGTTGTCAAAATGGCCCAAAACCGCAGTTTTCAAAAATTATTTACAAAATAACCCCTGTTGCGATCAAAATTTAAAAAAAGGGGGAAAAGGAAGAGAATTTGGATTCTCGGATGAGGGAGAATATTTTTAAATTGAAAGATGAGATATTTCATAATAAAATTCATATTTCTGCATCAAAACCCACTAAATTCTTCGAAAATGCCATAACGGAAACAATCTGAAGTTGCATCACCACGTGGGATCTTAACCGCCAAATTTGAAGGGTTAGATATGAAAGAGGATTCTGCATGTTGGGTGAAATATTTCCTGAACTTGATTTTGTATGAAATGATCACCTTTATCTGTCGAGAATGAATTCACTACCTTCCTCTACCTGAGTAGAAATTTTAGTACTTGGCTGGCCAGGCCCTGGTCCGCTGTGCCGTAGAAAAGACCCGGCCTTGTTACGGTTACCACATCAGGGCCTGATAGAAAATGTAACGCAAAGCATTATCAGGACCTGATTTCTAAACCTGAGAAGGGCCGTGACAGGCGGCCTGGTTTCGCCCTTACCTGGCATAGACTTTATTACAAATTAATAAATTGCTAACTGAATTATTAAACTGGGCTACAAATAAATAATAAATAAATAACTAAATAGTGGTCCCAGAAAAGTTGGGTCGAGAAAAAAAAGAAAAAAATATCACCCAGAGCGGGACTTGAACTCGGAAGACTCCGCGTAGAAGTTCTGTACCTTATCCACTTTTTTTTTTAGAGTTTGTTTATTGTCAAAAATATCAGTTGTCAGAAATGTTCTTACAAGGTATAAAATAAACTCCTTAAAAATACCTTACTTGCTAGTTACTTGGGAAATGTTTGTGATAAAGGTGGTTCCGACATGGATGGCTCGCTAACCTAGTTTTATTTTGCCAAAGGCAATTGTTGGAGTAAATAGTGTTCGTGTGTAGGTAAACTAAGTGTTTG